TCCCCTCGGGGGCACCGGGCACTGGCCATTGTCGGCAGACAGCACACTGGGCTAGATGGACCTTTGGTCTGACCCAGTACAGCCGTTCTTATGTTCTAATAAGCAGCTACCGCTTCCTGCAGCTCCTGGTGGCTGAGGACAGCAAACCGCAGCCAACAGTCCTAATATCCAGGACTTTGACCTTACACAGGCATTGATTACACACCCAATCCTGATTTTTCACATGTGCAATCTGGTCACCCTAGGTCCAAAGTGTGACCCTGGAGTTGTTAGACACTGCTCAGAATGTCCTTTGGAGTCTATTTGCTTTTAATATCCCCCCAAAACTGACCCCTCTATCAGATTTATTTTATGCACAATGTTGCTTTTCATTCCTATCCACTTTGTTCAGAGATTGCTCTCTCCCAAATGGAAGTATAAGATCGTGGAACTTGTTCCTTAGGGCAGCAGGTCTCAACCAGGGATTTGCTTCCCCTGGAGGGTATACAGAGGCATTCTGGTGGGAACATTGACTTTTACATATTGACCTAGGTTTACAACAGGCTACATGAAAAGCACTAACAACGACAGTATAAACAAAAATTCCATACAGACAATTGACTTGTTTATACTGCTCCCTAGAGCTTGTGTTTTGCTGTGATCATCTGGGATTTGATCCTCCACTTCCTCCGACTCAACAGTAGATGGGAGGGTGTTGGATGGGGAGGCTGGTGGAAGACTCTTTGCCAGAACAGATGGAACTGTGGAGCAGCATCTAAGGGATCCCCAGTGCTCCCAAGGGGCCCAACGAGTTAGATAATGAGGAGAAGGGTATGGCCACTCTGGGTACCATAGTGGGTGGTAGGGCTTTTCAAGGTAATGATGATATTGACGAGATGTAGTAGGAGAGGAGTGCTGCGAGGAAAAAACACTCCTCTGATCGTATTCAATAAATCTGGTGAGTTCATGCAGCAGCGGAGATCGAATGTAGCCTGGAGATGCGCAAGGCAAAGACAGCACCGGAGAGGGTTCCCTTGACGTGGGGAGGGAAACAAGGTGCCTGTCGTTAGTATCAGGTGCCAGTGAGGAATAAGTAGCTCTGGCTAGCTCGGTGTGGTCAGCATGCGCTGACTGAATTGCCTGTGCTATAGCCTCTGAGGGTATGTCTACACTACAACGTTAATTCGAACTAACTTAGTTCGAATTAGTTAATTCGAACTAAGCTAATTCGAACTAACGCGTCTAGAACTAAAAACTAGTTCGAATTAGCGTTTTGCTAATTCGAACTAGCAAGTCCACATTGAGTGGACTCTGAACAGGGCTTAAGGATGGCCGGAAGCAGTGCCGGCAGGGCATCAGAGGAGGACTTAGAGCGTGGAGATGCTGTCTCAGGCTAGCTGAGGGCTGTGCTTAAAGGGCCCCGAACTCCACCCCGGACAGACAGTTCTCAGGGGTGCCCTGCTTGAAAACCAGTCCTGGCTTGGAGTGCCCGGAGTGCCCACACTGGGCACATCACAGCACTCGGCCATCAGCCCGGCTGCACTTGCCGCAGGCTGCCATCTGGGGAGAGGGGGCAATGGTGGCCGCTCGCTGAGGGTGAGGGCAGCTGATAAGGCTTCTTCTTAAGATTTCTTTTTGTGTGTCTTTCTTTCTGTTCTTTCTTTTTCTTTCAACAGGAAAAATGAAGAGAGGGAGGGCGAGATTAACTGTGGCAGGGGCATGGGGAGAGCGGGGCCACCCCCACTGAGCCGGTCCCTCAGGAAAGAGGATAAAGAAAAATTGTATTTTTTTTAATAGAACAAGCAACAGGCAACAAGTAACTCAGGGTATGTCTACACTTGCATCTTCTTTTGATAGAGGGATGCAAATGAAGACAGACATTCAAAATTGAAAATGAAACCAGGATTTAAATATCCCATGCTTCATTTGCATAATCGCGTTATGGCTCTATTTCGAAATAGCACTATTTTGAAATAAAAGACGCTGTTAAGATGCAGTTATTTCGAGACGAAACCCTTCTCTCGGAATAGCCCTTATTCCTCATGCAGTGAGGTTTACCAGTTATTTTGAGAGAAGGGTTTTTTCTCAAAATAACCATGTCTTAACAGCATCTGTTATTTCGAAATAGCGCTATTTTGAAATAGCGCCATAACGCAATTATGCAAATGAAGCATGGGATATTTAAATCCTGGCTTCATTTGCAATTTCGAATGTCTTCATTTGCATCCCTCTCTCGAAAGAGGGTGCAAGTGTAGACATACCCTGACTGAGAAAAACACTAGAATTGATAAAGGAGGCAGGAAAAACTGTAAGGCCGTGTGAGGAAAATAGACGCCTGAGATGAGAGAGAAACTCCGTCCATGGCTGAGAGCAGAAAGCGAGGAACTGAAGGGGGGAGGGGTCAGGCCATGTGTGTGAGGTACCAAACTGCCCATAGCATGAGACACCTTCTGCGAATGTAGAGGCTGGAGAGGGATGGCAAGAGACAAATCGTTTGATCATTGTCTTTGGTCCACCCTCTCTGGGACACCTGGTGCTGGCCACTGTCGGCAGACAGGCTACTGGGCTAGATGGACCTTTGGTCTGACCCAGTACGGCCGTTCTTATGTTCTAATAAGCAGCTACCGCTTCCTGCAGCTCCTGGTGGCTGAGGACAGCAAACCGCAGCCAACAGTCCTAATATCCAGGACTTTGACCTTACACAGGCATTGATTACACACCCAATCCTGATTTTTCACATGTGCAATCTGGTCACCCTAGGTCCAAAGTGTGACCCTGGAGTTGTTAGACACTGCTCAGAATGTCCTTTGGAGTCTATTTGCTTTTAATATCCCCCCAAAACTGACCCCTCTATCAGATTTATTTTATGCACAATGTTGCTTTTCATTCCTATCCACTTTGTTCAGAGATTGCTCTCTCCCAAATGGAAGTATAAGATCGTGGAACTTGTTCCTTAGGGCAGCAGGTCTCAACCAGGGATTTGCTTCCCCTGTAGGGTATACAGAGGCATTCTGGTGGGAACATTGACTTTTACATATTGACCTAGGTTTACAACAGGCTACATGAAAAGCACTAACAACGACAGTATAAAAAAAAATTCCATACAGACAAATGACCTGTTTATACTGCTCCCTAGAGCTTGTGTTTCGCTGTGATCATCTGGGATTTGATCCTCCACTTCCTCCGACTCAACAGTAGATGGGAGGGTGTTGGATGGGGAGGCTGGTGGAAGACTCTTTGCCAGAACAGATGGAACTGTGGAGCAGCATCTAAGGGATCCCCAGTGCTCCCAAGGGGCCCAACGAGTTGGATAATGAGGAGGAGGGTATGGCTACTCTGGGTACCATAGTGGGTGGTAGGGCTTTTCAAGGTAATGATGATATTGACGAGATGTAGTAGGAGAGGAGTGCTGCGAGGAAAAAACACTCCTCTGATCGTATTCAATAAATCTGGTGAGTTCATGCAGCAGCGGAGATCGAATGTAGCCTGGAGATGCGCAAGGCAAAGACAGCACCGGAGAGGGTTCCCTTGACGTGGGGAGGGAAACAAGGTGCCTGTCGTTAGTATCAGGTGCCAGTGAGGAATAAGTAGCTCTGGCTAGCTCGGTGTGGTCAGCATGCGCTGACTGAATTGCCTGTGCTATAGCCTCTGAGGGTATGTCTACACTACAACGTTAATTCGAACTAACTTAGTTCGAATTAGTTAATTCGAACTAAGCTAATTCGAACTAACGCGTCTAGAACTAAAAACTAGTTCGAATTAGCGTTTTGCTAATTCGAACTAGCAAGTCCACATTGAGTGGACTCTGAACAGGGCTTAAGGATGGCCGGAAGCAGTGCCGGCAGGGCATCAGAGGAGGACTTAGAGCGTGGAGATGCTGTCTCAGGCTAGCCAAGGGCTGCACTTAAAGGGTCCCGACCCCCACCCCAGACAGACAGTTCTCAGGGGT